TATTTCTCAATGTCCTAGCTACTTATATATAAATATATTGACTTCTTCAAGATATATATATATATATATATATATATATATATATATATATATATATATATATATATGCAAATATATGGCACTGGCAAAAATAATCATAAACATCATTTGCTGCTTCAGAGTTCCATGAAACGTTTATCAAAGGTTCAGATAAGACATATATCAACATTTGAATCGTTTTAGCATTTAGAATAATTTTAAGTCATTAAAAATCCATGTCAATCAAATCTATACAAAATTAGCTCGAATCGTTTTAAATGTAATTCGAATCGATCTAAATTTAATACCACAAAACTACTTTCAAGTTCTCAAAAACGTTTTAAATAATTTCAAAATTCAAATGAATTCAAATTCATTTTAATCTCTTCAAAACGATTTCAAACCCTTCACAACTATTTTAGTTCCCTCAAAATCATTTAACACTATTTCAGAATATTTTGAATCATTTTGTAACATCCTAAAACAAATTCTCTGCCTTCAAAGCCATTTTAGTTTCTTCAAAACAATTTCAAAACGTTTCAAACTACTTAAAATCGTTCTGAACCGATTCAAATCTCTTAAAATCGATTCAAACCAATCTGAACCATTTCGAATCGTTCAAAACGATGATTCAAACAGCTTTAAATCAATTCAAATTGTTTATAAATCATTTTAATTGTTTATAAATCATTTTAAACTATTTGAAATTGTTACAAATCATTAAAGTAAATAATTGCACATCAACCCATACAATATTGCATAGCACAACTTTAAATATGCATTATAAATAAATTTCTTATTAACAAATGATGTTTAATATTTGTATTTGCCAATTCGTGTGTGTATATATATATATTTTATATATATATATATATATAATCTTTCCTTCGCGTATATTGACTTATTTAATGAACTTACCCCTAAATTGTTTTTACCCTAATTAGTGTTAATATTAATAATTATCCATATCGTTATAATTAATTTATGATTTAAGCATTTTGTTCTTCGTAAATATTTTATTAGTTATTTTATTTAATTTAATATTTAATAGTTTTTTAACATAATGCTCTGTGATTAAAAAACTAGGTAATACGGATTAGTCTGAGAGCTGGGGGTCGAATAAGAATAAAGAATATTGATAGATGTGAAATTAGGTATTTATGATAATTGTTCAGTTATTTAGTTATTATTAGTTTTGTCAGAAGGTTGTTTTGTATCACCTAGTTTTTTTTTGTAATATTTGTGTTTTTGTATAAATGTTTTGTTGTAAATGTATATATACGTTTTATTGTTTTAAAATATTAGTAAAATAGTAAATCGAAAATAAATTAAGGAAATTTAGAGGTGAATGTAAAGATGATTTTATTTTGTAAATAAAATTATGTTAATATATTGAAAATAAAAGCTGTCTTTTTAAATAATGAATTACACTAAATATGTTGTGAAAAAAATCGAAAGTTAATTTTTTTTAAAAAAGAATTCATTAATGTTTTGGAACAATATAAAATAAATAAACTAAAAATATAAATGCTTAAACTTTTTTGTCTTCATGTGTTCAAATGTCGGTAACATTTTAAAATTAATTTATTTATAAACTTATCATTCACTTTTATATCTTAAATATTAAATTTACTATCTAAACTTCTTAAAATTAAAATTACATTATTATAAATTTATTGGTATGTTTTCATCGACGACGATTTTTTATATTTGTGTGTGTGTTGATGTATGTATGTATGTTCGGATTCATTTCTATATTTATATATAATTTAACTAGTTTCAATTTATTAAATATCAATTCTAAACTTAATAATTTTCCATATTTTTTAAATTTATCTTATCCATTAATATTATCTTTCGTATTTAAATCTATATGTACAAAAGTTAGTTGGAAAAGATTTAAAATAAAAAACAAAATGTGTTCAAATTTTGGATTTAAGTAGTTTTTTTATTTTGTTTATTGCTTTGAATTCTCATTGATCTGTTTCTACGAGATTCTGATTTTTAGTCTGTTTTAGAATTATCTAAGCGTTAGAAAAATCTAAATCTTTCGTCATCTTATTTATCTAAAAACAAGATCGTTCTAAACGTTTCTTTTTAGTCATCTACTGATCCTTAGGACACTGCCAGCGTGTCCTGGTAAAATAAATTCAAGGAAAAGTAAATAAAAGTCGTAAGTTGTATAAAAAGTTTGGATATTGATTGTTCCAAGTGGATGGCATCAACAACATCTCGACTTCAACCAACATACGACTTTTACACAAGGAAAAAAATGCAAAATTGCAATTATTAATATTTCATCTAACGACTTCTCACGTCTAATTAAAAATCTTGCGCAGTCTTAAAAATAATCATAGGAAAATATTTTTCTCGTTCTCTAACATCTACCTTGAGGTACGCCCAATTCCAAAAAAATGTGACGATACCGACTCTAACACGTTTCGTACGCTCTCCTGGACGCCATAGCCAGGGATTTCTGATGGTTGGTGGAGGAAAGGAATTATTAGAGTCGTCAGAAAATATTTAAAGCAGTGTTTTAATAGTTAAAAGTCGCAAAAAAATTAAACATTCATCATTTATTTCTGACAACTTCACCAGTTCCTCTCCGACCTTCCATTTTGACTAATTATCCAAACAAAATTAGTATCTTTTTTTCCAAAAAACAAGTCTAAATATTAATCAACAATTTATCTCCATCTAATAATTTCATTTCTTAGATTTTTATTAATTTACGCTTCGTTTAATGATAATTAATATCTTTTAATAATAATTTTTTTAAATATCTTTGGACCCAGAGCTGTTAATATTTTGGGGAAATCGATAATCGAATCGATTGATCGATATTTTTATACATTTGGAAATATCGATTAATTTATATCGATCGTTTAATTTATATAGATTGTATATAAAGATGTTGTGCAATAGTCAAAAAGTGTAGGGAATTTTTGAAAATTCTTCAAAAGTCATATAAACTAAGACGTAATATATATATATATATATATATATATATATATAATAGAAATTATTATTATTTTCCTGATTGATTGTTACTTCAAAATTGATCATTTAATAATAATTGAGTTCGAATATATCTAATAAGTTATTTTGACTCATGTAGTTCGTATTCGAGTGCTCATGATTTTATTCGAATTTCTTAATATATTAACTTGATGCAAATGTATTCAAATTCAACAATGTAGTTTGGTGTTTTATTTGAATAGTTGATTCAAATCGCTTTTTTATTCGTGCAGTTCATCATATCATATTAAGTTTATTAAATAAAACAAATATCGACATTCGGATCACAAAGTTTAGTTTTTAAATATTGATCTACGTTGATTTAATTTTAGATTTGCCACTTTGTAAACTATTTTATAAAATTATTGTATCGAATCGATGGTAGTGATTCGAATGACACAAATCATATATAATTTAGTCTCGTACTAAATCATATAAAATTTAGTCTCGTACTATATCATGTTTAATTCTTACAACAAACAATTTTGTTTAGTGATTCGAATCGACGTTAACAAAATGCAAAGAATAAAAACAATCAATACGTTGATGGAAAATAATAATAATTTCTATATTGCAACTTTGGATTTATATATATATATATATATATATATATATATTACTGTAAATTTATTTATATTATCATTATCAGTATCAATATAATATATAGCTTATTGTTTATCTCTTAATTAAATTTAATTTTGCTTAACCATTTCGTCTCTTATAGATATACACGTATATATATATTTATATATATATATATATATATATATATATATATATATCTTGAAAGTTTTTTCGACGTTGAAACATATTTGAAAAAATGTTTTAATAGCCCATTCGTCGAAATAGAAAAAAAAAGTCTTTATTATATGATCGATACCTGATGTGTGTCATTATTCAGTAATCGCCAGGTCAAAAGCATGAAACTTATACATTTAATTAAATTTTTTTTGAGAATTTAACACAAAACCATAATTATTACAAAAAGGAGAATTATATTATTCAAATGCACAATAGAGCAAAAAATTATACTACCTCGTAACAGTGACAAAACCAATGTAATTTATAATACAACCACATTGGTTTTGTCGATAATAAAGAAATTTATTTTTTCTTAACTTAATTTTTTATTTCGACGAATGAGCTGTTAAAACCATTTTTCAAATATATAATATCTTTGTTCGTAGCCACAGCAAAGCTTGTCCAGAAATTATATATATATATATATATATATGTATATTTATATTTTTTAGACTTAACACATTTGTTTATAATAATTACCTATGTCTATATAATATTGCAATTTATTTTATAATAATATATATTTATTTATTTATATTTATATTTCACTTACGCTCTATAATTTTATTTTATTTTTTCATATATATATTTATATTTATAATATAATTGATTATTAAATTGGTGTATCATTATTTTCCTTTAAAACTAATCTTTTCTTTCTTATTTATTTATTATTTAATTTATATCTATATGTAGAATTGCTTATGCTAGAGTTTTCCATTTGGCTTATGACTACTGTGTGTAGAAAGAGTTTTTGCCTTACTAATATTTTTTGCTTTCTTTTTTAAAAAAAAAATCAGATTTTCGATAATTGATGATTTTTTCGGTGATCGGAGACGCCGGAGATGGCCGATGATGGATTTAATAATGGTTCCGAAACGTAAAATAGAATTGACTTGCCTAAAAATCCAACTTGATTCGTCTGTATAATTAATTTTATTCGCTTATTAAAAACTTTACTTTGGCGATTGATGGCACACATCAAGTGCCGAAACGTACGGCAATAAAATAATGACAAATAAAAATAAATTAGTATAATTGATACGAATCCATTTTTTTTTGTTTGAAATTTTGTGAGGCGTCGGACTCTCGACCGTTTTGTAAAATTTGTACGAAATTTTGAAAAATAAAATGTTTTTATCATGAGAAAATCCTTTAAAACTCCGGATGTATATGTATATATGTATTTCTGTCTCCAACAATCTCCAATCACTTCTTTGAGTTCCCTTAAAAATGCATTTAGATTCCTTAACCTGCTCATTTTTTCTTATCATATTTTTTGCTTTCTTAATTTTAAAATCGATTAAAAAAATTAACTGGGAATTGATTCTAATATTGACTGGGTTTCTCTGGATGTAATAATAATTTTTGCTTTTTTTGGAAATTATTATTACCATTTTGGTTGCTTTGTTTGTTTTTTTTTCTTACCGGTACATTTCAACAGTGGTATCCGTTGGTTATTGGCGATCTCTGAAACGGTCAAATAATAGTTAAAATTGGATTAAGATTTTGTTGGATTGTAAAATTCTGAGCTTAAAATTCTCCGATTTTTCTAACAAACTTTTATATTATAACTGTACGAAAAATATATAATTAATGTGATTAGTTGGACGTTTCGAGCATATGGGATGTTTTCTTCTTCAGGAAAATTATAAAACAAATTCTCTTAAATTGAGTGTGTTTCAATTATCCACAGCTTCCAAAGAAGGAAACATTTCATGCTATCGAAACATCGAATTAATTATGTATGGAATGTTAAATGAATTTATACAGGCAGATCTTTTAAAATCGAGACAGACCATTAAAAATGCATTCGTTAATATCGTTAATATTTGATTTTAAATATACGTACATTGCGATGCTGAGTCGGATATTTTACTCGATGATGCATCTAATACGGCAACGCGTAATCGGTACAGTTAGTATTTATTAAATTATTTAAATATTTAAAACATCTTGGTTATTTATGATGAAACATTTTTTGTAACAAAATACTATCTACATAACTAAATAAAGCTACAAAAACAAAAGGTGCTTTTACAAAAATTGTGCAAAATCAAATCAGAAAAAGCAAAAAAAATGATAAATTTAGAAAACAAATTGAATACAACATCAACTAATGTATGAAGAAAATCTACAGACAACAAATTATATACTTTAAGCCTATGAATACAAAAGGCTGGATTATGGGTTTCATTTTCTCATCATAAGGCTTAAAGCATAATTCGTATTTTAATTGATATCAACGCACCTTGAAGTTTTTTGCTTTATTTCGTGTTCTTGCTACTCTAGTAGAGTTGAAGTTGAGTAGATGTACATGTTTTTTTTTTATTATTGCCAAATTTTTATGTTTATTAATTCGAGATCGCAATTTCGAGTGAATTTTGCAAAGAATTTTTTAGTAGCTGCTGCTTTTCAAAATTCACAATCTTCAACAGCTGTCGAAAATCTGACAGACGTTCCAGTGTTCCACGTTAAACTGAGAAATTTGACGGCAGATAAAAAAACTGTTTTTATTTTGTTAATATTTTGGTTAATGCTAAATGGAGAGATTGAGGGTCGGTTGGTGATATGGTGATTTCCAAAAAATCCGACAAAAGATATCAATTAAATATTTTTCTTGAAAAATGAAATTTTGCGTAGCAACACAGAGTTTATGGTCTAAAATAGTATCCTAAAATATTATAGTCCTGAGTAAAGTTACAAAAGTTTATTGAAGTTGGAGCGACTGCAATTTTCATTAACTTTGCTATTGAGTAACTAAGATTTGGAATGGTTGAGTTATCGAGTAACTGATATTTTTAATATATGAAATACCGAGTAACTAGGACTTTAAAAAAATTAGAAATCGAGCAAGTAAGATTCTTAATAACTGTGATATCGAGTAATTGAATTTTGGTATAGTTAAGATTTTGAGCAATTGAGATTTCGATTAATGAGATATCGAGCAAATGAGATTTTTATTAACTGAGATATCGAGCAAATGAGATTTTTATTAACTGAGATATCAAGCAAATGAGATTTTTATTAACTGAGATATCGAGCAAATAAGATTTTTAATAACTGGCATGTCGAGCAACTGGGGTGTATAATAACTGAGATATCGAGCAACTGAAATATCAAGTAACTAAGACTTTTAAAATATTTTACTAACTGAGACTTTTAAAATATTTGAAATAGCTAAGATCTCGAGAGCAGATGAGGTTTGAAATAGCTGAGATCTCCAGCTACTGAGATCTTGAATAACTGATATTTAGCAACTGAAATTTTATGATATCGAGTAACTGAGATTTTAATCGTCTATCAAAATCTATCAAAAATAACTCTTAAATATCTTTATCTTTTAAATAATTGAAATATTGAATAACTCATGTATCAAACAACTGAGTTGTCGTGTAACTTATATATCTAACAGCTGAGTTGTCGAGTAACTCAATGAGATAATTATTGATAACTCAATGAAATAATTGGGATGTCGAGTAACTCATCCATCAAACAACTGAGATTTCTACTAACTTATATATCAAACTAGCAAACCCGACGAACTCCGTTTCGCCACCAGATGGTTTCGTGAGAAAGATGAAGAAATTTTTTGTTTGTTTTATATTTGAAAAGGAAAAATTTGATTTTATTGCACAACAGTAATGAATTTATTTCGATTACAAAAATCAAGTGATTTTTAGTTGAACTTCTCTAAGTTTGGTAAACCACATTTTTTGTTTTTTGGTCTGACGTTAACACAAACAAAGCGGATGGTTTTCCAACTCGTGAACAGGCAACGTATAACTGCCTATGTGAAAAACAATGATTTTCTAAATAATCTATTTGAAATTTAACACTAAGCGATTGGCCTTGCGACTTATTATTGCAACGCAAGCGAACTGGATATTGCAATCGTTTGAAGTCAAACTAAAATGCCAGCAATTTTTGATTGAATGGTGAAACACAGTGCGTGTACATCTTTATACTTTGCGGCAAGAATTGTTCGTTGACTTAACCAAGCATAATTCTGATAATTCTCACTAATGTCATTACTCGAATTTTTAATTACGGTGCGTGAAGTTCCAGTAACTTGCATTAAGGCACGACGCCATACATCACTAATTTTCTCAGCTATAAACCTTCCGGAGCTTGAGACCTTTCCAACAAATTCAAAATTGTCGAAATCGGTTCGTGCTTTCTGGAGTTAATATCGTCAGGAAGGAAAATTCAACTTATTTTTATATATATGTAGACATATGTAGATAATCTATTTGAAATTATTTAAAACAATTATTGATTATTTTCATTACTCGAATTTTTAATTGCGGTGCGTGAAATTCCAGCAATTTGCATTAAGGCACGATGCCATACACAACTAATTTGCTCAGCTATAAACCTTGCGGAGCTCGAGACCTTTCCAACGAATGCAAAATTGTCGAAATCGGTTCGTGCGTTCTGGAGTTATTTCGTCAGGAAGGAAAACCCGACTTATTTTTATATATATAGAAGATAACTGAGGAGTCGAGTATCTCTTATGTCAAATAACTAAGATGTCCAGTAACACATCTTTTAAATAACCGAGATGTCGAGTAACTCATATATCAGAAATCTTCAATTACATTCATTAAACTTGAGGAGCTTCTAATTAAATTCGAACAACCGACCCTCCTAACAGTTCTTAAATGAATTACATGACCATTATTTATAACTCACCGGAGTGTAATTGATGGGCGCCCTGCTCACCGCAATCGCCGGGTACGCCGCAGGAGGCGGCTGGGGGCTCCCTCCGGCGCCTCCGGGAGTCTGGTGGTGCAACGGATGGTGCACAGCCGCATGCGGATGGTGAGCGTACATTGTTGTACCAGTAGGAGTCTAGAAAAAAAGGATACAATGAAGTTTTGCTCTAGTTGAAGATTGTATAGTTAGTTGTGGTTATTCCTTTACCTGTTGGTCGAGTGTGGCGACTCCTCCAAGCGCAGTGGCGGCGTACAAGTCTATCGCGGGTCCCGGAGATCCTCCTGTGCCCCCGGCTGATACCACAGCTCCACCCGGAGTCCCAGGCTGAGCAGGTCCGTATCTGGCGGGTCCCGTGCTGCCTACGGGGGTTCCTGCGGGTGCTGGTCCTACAACGGCGGTGCCTCCGTGAGGTGAGGCTGGCGGAACGAAACCGCCTCCGGTGGCCGCCGCCACTGCTGCTGCTGCTTGATAGTTGTTCATCACTAGATAATAGAGAGACATCAGAATGTTAGAAAACTTTACCAATGGAAGAACAACATTAGATCTTGGATCAAATCAGGAAAATTTATCAACTAAAACCACTGGATGAATTTTTAACTTGCCGTAGTGTAGTTATAGTAATGGGCCGAAAATCGAAAATGAAAATTTTTGCATTTCTCGATGTTTTGAAGGTTTCTGAACATTTTTAAGGCATATCTCAGAAACTAAATGGATGTGTGTGTGTGTGTTTTGTATGTCCGCATTTTTTCGTCCACGTTTTCGGGCGCACGGATCAACTGATTTGAATAGTTTAATAAATATTCGATTCTTATTGAAAGGGAGATGTGCTGATTAGTTTTTGGCAAAGGCAGGTCCCGCCATTTCGAAGATACAGAGCTAAATGTGCAAAAAATGCAGTTTTTAAGTGAACTAAGCGTCCGATTTCAATGATCTAAAAAACTTTCTGCTTGCATTGACAAAACAATTGTTTTTGAGGATAAAAAATCATTACATCTTTTTTCATTTTCCATGAAATATTTTTGAAATTTTTGATTAAAAAAATTGAAAAAATTATCCAGGCTAAGCACAGTCTAAGCGCCACTCTGGTACCAATATTTACCCAAGTGCGTTTAGACTGTTTATTTACTGGAGCAATTTTCCAATTTTGTGAAAACTATTGAAAAATGTGAAAATGCCGTCAAGCTAAGCGCAAATGCGTTTAGACTGTGACTATACGGGAGCATTTTTTCAATTCTGTAAATTAGCGGCAACTTTTTTTTTAAAATTGAATTCGAAATGAAATGACGATTGTTAACGTTCTGGAGATAAATTATTTTATGATTTGCATTTGATTTGCCCAGATATAACAAGATAGCAAAAATAATGAAAGTTACAGTATTTGTAATAATATATTTGAAAACTTTTTAAATTTCTCGAATTTCATTACGGTACGAGAAGTTCCAGCAACTTGCCTTAAGGCAAGACCCCATATACCCTAGTTGGATTTTGCTGTGGGATGCAAAAGATAAATTGGTCTCAATAGGCAGTAATTGATCAAATATTGAGGCTAGTGGCACAAGACAGATCCTTACTGCATTTGAATTAACATAAAAGTTTTCCTTTAGTGAAATGTCATCAGTAAACAAATAGCCAGGACAGATTATGGCTTTATACATTGATCATTTTAAACCCTTGGTCATGGTCAAATATTTGCTTTTGCACTTCTGATTTTTGATAGAGATCAGTTTTTGGAATTAAGTATGTGATGGGGAAAATGAATTGGATTGAGATAAATTGCAGAAGAGACTCTCCACTGACTTGGGATGTCAAAAGTTTTCCTTTTGTGAGTTGTCATCAGAGAACAAACACAAGCACTACAAGGACATCAGATTAGGGTTTTATACTACTACTACTATAGATCAGAAAAATTAATTGGCAAAACAGGGATCTTTTTAGATCCTATAGTGTAGTGGTCAAAGTGCCAAGATAAAAGACAAAGGATTTAGGTACAAATTGATATTTCATTCAGTTAATTACCTGACAGAGCCTGGGTCAACAGCGGCGTGTTATTATTTGGGGTCAACTGGCCATTGGTTAGATCAACTGAAATAAAAAACAAAAACTTCATTAAAATCTTAAAAAACTTTCTTCAGTATCAAAAATTTTAAAAGTCAATCTAATCTAAGATGATTAATTATATAATTCTAATAACTTATATTAAAAATATTATTTTTAAATAGTTCTAAATTAGTTTTTGTATGTATTCACAATACTAAATCGGAGCTTAGGACCATTTTAGCCCAAATTTTGGCCATGGAATCTAAAAAATGGATTTTCCTGTTTTGTTTGGGTTAAATCGGTCGTAAGCTTCGAATCCACTAACAATATTAAAAATACATGCTTTTAATAAATAGATATTTTTTAAGTGTAAAATAGTTTTTGTAAACATATACAATAAATATAAAACTAAAGCTAATTAATTGATTAAAAACTTAAGTCTAGACTTAAACTATAAACTATTTTATATATAATATTTTTATAAAGCCTAAATGCTATTTTGCAAAACATATATTTTTGTTTATTTTTATTTTTTTGACATTGAAAAAATTTTGAACTATTTTTCTTATAAATCTAGAAAAAATGAACTATTGTTGCTACTTTAAATAAATTCTAAGAGTAGATTTATAAAATAAATATTGATATTTTTTGTTTATAAATTTTTTTTAGCTAAAACTACGATATGTGTGAAATGTTGTTAAATGAATTGAGATATTGTGTGAGTGTGGCATCGTGTGGCAGTGATATTCAGAGATTTTAAATAAACTACTAAATATATTAGGTTTTAAAAATAAATTTTACAAAAAGTACGAGTATTATAAATATAAAACCAAATATTTTTCTAATAAATTTCAATTTCGGTGAAAATGTTCAATTAAATTAATACCATAGACTCAGGCAGTCATCTGATTCTGTTAACATTGTTTTTTCATGGTCAAACAATGTTTCGCTATTTTTTTTGCTTATTTCTACACGTTTACTATTCTTTTTGATAATAATATATAAGTAATAATATATAAATAAGTTTTTGAACTAATAAACATCTACATTATATAGCTTTATTATATATCTACATCTACATATAATTCTAAAAAATATTTTCAGTATATGTATATTCTATTAATAATTTATTATTAACTTACTCAAATAGCAGTCCGCTTTATTTTCAATGAAAATCAATAAAATATATGTTTGGCAAAACAACAAATAATTCAACAATACTTATTGTTAATATATTAATTAATATATATTTATATATTATAATTTTACATTAAATTCTTTTTAACAATAACATTAAGAATATTTAACAAAACTGACAGTTACAATGCAAATACTTATATAAATAAATAATACTGGATGGACAGTTTTTTTTCCTTATAAATTATTGTTAACAAAAGAAACTCTTAATGTAAGAACAAAATTCTCTTATTTTTACAAAATATTTTTTAGTTATAAAATGCTTTCGGATTGTTTTCGTATTGATTTGTAATTTTATATTGAACTAATATTTTACTGCTAAACTGTATTTAAGTTTATGTCAGGATTGCCTAACTACATCGAGTTGATATAGTTTTTTTTTAATAATTTATTAGGGCAACTTGCATTTGGATATTTCATTCACGTTTTAAGAGGATCTTTGAAAGTTGACATATTTTTTAAAAAATCTTTCTATTAATGAACGTATTGATCTTTCTGACTCAGTCGACAATAATATTGACGAGATCAACAAAATAATCTAAAAAATGATATTGTGAAGACACAAGGAGTCATTTCCAGCCAGTAGATTCAAAATTACTAATCTTATGCAAGATTCCCATCATGACTAATTCTAATATCGGTCCTATGATTATACTGGAAATTATTCTATGGTTTTAGAACTAGATCATCTATAACTTAATCTTAACTATATAGTTTAGTTACGTCAGTAAGAAACTGATGATGGAAAGTGGATCATTCGAGACAACCCCAAACGAAAATAATGATCCAGTTTTATCCACACAACCTTAGATCTAATGATCTAATCAGATTGTTATCTTATAATTATCTAACAAAAACACCTAGAGCGTAATCTTATATACTAGTATGGAGTTCCTGAAGGGATTATGTAAGATCGTTTTAAATTTTATCCATATGATCATAGTGCAGTATTTTAATCTATTCTGTAACGACTCTAAATATAAAATATAGTAGGGATACTATATTTTATATAAAATAGAAAGCAGCAGAAAGAAATCCATCATTTTCTTTTATGTCTCCTATTTCACCAACAAACTATTTGAAATTATTTGAGCAAGAATGGATACGTTATGTGAATTGTAATTATTGTAACTGATTACCTTTAATTTTATGGAAAAGTGATGCATTTCTTTCCTCTACATTCGATAATTGATAGATGTCAGATTTTACCTTACATTTTTCTGCTACAAGTTGTACTTTATCCTAAAAGATTTCTACAATAACTATCCTAGTCTGTGGTTCATCATGTGTCACAACTTTTATTTATAGTTTTTGCTTCTATGGTTTGACCTATTGGCAAGTTCTTTGCACCATATATAGATTTTTGGAATATTTTTAAAACAATTATCTAAATATTATAATAATTAAGAGGCTTAAGAAAACAATCGGTTTGATCGATGAAAGTAGTAGCAAATTATTTTGAAATTTAATAATTAATTCGGAAAATATTCAGGAAACAATTAAATCAGATATCAAAGCTGCTATCTGTTTGGTGAATTAGAAATTAGTCTTTAGTCGTCTAAGACATGTGAGTCCCAAATACTGGACTAAATGACTATACATAAATTAAATAAGCTCAAAATAATAAGATTCATCATTATATCCGATTACTGAATCATATACCAAAAGAAAGCGTTTTTGCGACTCGTGTGATCAAACCAGATGCCCAAAAATATTTCCAAGACATCTGGTTCTTCTACAATATTTTTTTTACAAATGCATTACATGAATCCTGTCCTGTATCATTATCGGAAGGATCCTCAGCTGGGCAGCTGCTGCCGGCTGATGAAGACCCCTCGAAGGCGCCTGATGGTGGTCTATTATGGCTGAATTGGCGATGCACCAATATTTCCCAATATTTATTTTCAATTGAATCAATTGTATGATAAATTAAAAAAAAAATAGCGACTTACCGGTAGGATAGGGCAGGCCGAAGCTAGGATAACCGGAGTAGCCCCTTCCGGCTGCGTAGGCGGCGTAGGCTGCTGCAGGAAAACCTAAAGGATAGAAGAAATATAATGATCAGAGATATGGACTCTAAGCAGGGCATAGGCGATACTGCTTCAAATTTGGAAAATAATGTAGAAGATGAAATGAACCGACTAGAATTGACACAAATCGATGGAAAAGTGATGCAGAAAATTCAGGGGGTTTGTATGTGGTTACACATGATAATGCGGAAGCAAAGTAACAGAAAATTTGAAAAGTAAAAAGTAGGGTTTGTCGGTTTTCAAAAACCGGTTTTCTTGGCGAAAATTATGGAATTCGAAATTATGGAAAATGACAAATATAAAAGATAGATGAAAGCGTTTTGATTCTTAAAATCATATCGGTTCAATAGCATTTGATATCTTATCAGTCTGCAATGGTTCCCAGAAAGGTTTTGTATATGTTAATTTAGATTTTTATACCAGAGTATATTTTAATTTAAACCAGGTTGACTTCTTGAAGAAGTAACTTCCTCTATTCAAACTTAAAAAAAAGAGTTTTAAACCCTAGAAGCCACAAATAAAAGAATAAAAAGCTTAGAATTATTATATCAGGCTTTAAAAGCAATTAAGCATAATTTGGTCGCAAGTATAAGAGTATTTTCTATTTCAGTAGCAATTCGATAGGCGTTCTCAATTTTTTTCAATCATATTTTATTAAACAAAAAAAAAAACAATTAGAATGTTTAAAATTAATTAAATAAAATTAATCGTAACAGACAATACCCGAGTTTATCTTAATTGTTTTTAAAACTAAAATTGATATTAACAAGTATGTATCAAAATGTATCTAATTTTTTTTTAATTTAATGAATGTTTTATTTAAAAATGTATTAATTTTATTTATTCGAAAACTTTCCTTTCAATATCATAAAAATATTTTCATTCTTATATGTTAAAATGATGCATGAATAACAAATAATTATTTTCAAAGTTATTTAATCAAGATAAACTATTATTTTTTTAGTTCTACTAATTAAAATTAAAATAATTTTGTTTACTATCCATAAAATTGAACAATAAATAAATTCAGTCAAATACTGCTCTAAATTACACATTACTAAATTTGCGGATAAATTACAGAATATCCGAGCAAAAATTTATTTTCTATATAAAATTCGAAAATCGGTTTTTTTAGCAAAATTAAAATTCGAAAACCGGTTTTCTGAAATGTCGGTTTTTGTGTAAACCCTAGTAAAAAGTGAACTATAAATGTGGTGTCTTTGCACAAAAAATAGTGTCTATTAAAGTTATTAACAAATATATATATATATATATATATATATAATTATTTATATATATATATATATTTATATATATATATATATATATATATATATAATTATTACTCACCATCAGGTAGTGCGCCCAAAGACCACATAAAATCTGCAAAAAATATGAAAACAAATATTAGATAATTTTTTTTGGATCAAACACAATCTAGTTCTACTAATCATCTAACTAGATCTAATTTCATATTTTATATATCTCTGTATCTATTCGTCTTTTAGAGTAGATTTTGATCTAAATCATCTAAAAATAATCTATCTATGTAAGATTATCTACATTTTATAATTATCTATACTAAACTACATCACACGACCTGAAATATAAATAATACAATGATAGTATTTAGATAAACCTGAAAATAAATGAATAAGTTAATATCAAAGTCTCTGAAAAAAATCGAAAAAAGATTTTGAATACAATATTAGATGACGTAGTTATTTTCTTTAAACGAGGGAAAAATTGGTTAAAGGCTGTGGATTTTTAAATATTTTGGACCTGCTGAGATTTTTTAAGTATCGATTTTTTGGTGAATTGAATTTGTTTGGTCAAAGTTGGTCTATTTTGGATAAAACCTAGGTATACAAAGTTAGAAATGGGAAAAGTTCATATTAGTTAATTTAACTACAACATTTCAAATCCTTCAAAAAGATTTGCAAGGTTGCATCTACTTTCTACAATATTCAGAAACCTGCTTTTGTTTTTAAATTAGGGGCTGTGATCGAGAAACTATAAAATTCTAAAAACAAATTTTTAACCCTGTCGGTCGGTCCACCAGTAAATCATTTTCAACCCTTATGACGTCATCTAATAAATTTTAACTACAATAACTTGAGTAATAGTGCAAAACTAATTCTTGCACACTATTTAACACATGTAACTACATTTATAATATAGTAGACATACTTAAAATATATCTAAAACCTTTGAACCTGAAATTTTTTTCTACCTTGAACTATTTTTAAAATTTTGAAACTAATCCTGATGTAAACTTATGTTCTAAAATAGTGTAAAATAGTAAATTGTATTAAAATTTAAAATTAAGACGAATTCGAGGAAAAATAAGCTTTAATATTTATTTATTACTACTGGTTGATTTTTTATATATTGATTACACTATTTTAGTTAACAGGATTATTTTTATTTTATTATAACAACACACATCAATTTGTATCTAAAATAGCTAAATTTTGTTCAATATTTTTAAGTACCAAAGACAACTATGTTTTAACTATTTGTTAGTTTAGTAAAGTGTTTTAAGTATTAACACTTTTTTTCACTAACTAAGACTTAATATGTCTAAAATGTTTTACATTAATAATATTATATAAATATTAATTTTTATTAACAATAACTAATTTGTTGTTGACTAAAAAATTACAAAATTAGTTTTCTAAATCTAAATGTCTAAATATTTATTTTTGTTAGTATATTTGGATAAATTTTTAATTTGGCTACTGCGAGTCGAACTCATACATCGAAAAGAATAAAAAATATTTAGAAAAATAAAAATATATACCCTTTAACTATTTTTTAACCCTCGGTGTACGAGTTTTGCTCGCATTGTTCGTCCAAAAAATAGTATGAATTCACTCCTACTTTAATTTAGTATAATATTAGGTTGTCAAATATCTCCCTTCCGCTTTTTATATATATACGTGTATATATATATATATATATATATTATATATATATATAACAACCTAATATAAGTATCTAAAAGCTAACTATATCACTCTCTAAACATTATTAATTATAATATATTGATTTTAATTTTGAAGGCTCGTTTCCAGTACCACTTGTTTCGAGCCTACTAAAACCCTAATTTATCCTACTATCACATTTGTTTTATCACATTTTACTACTAAAACTAAATAGTACAATTATTTCACATTATATAAAAAATATAGTATGTGTAACTACTGAGTTAAACTACGTTACTAATATTAGTATAACTAATAGTACTAAGTTTTAGTTAAAAACAATTCGTTTCAAGTTTTTGTCCAAGTTTATTTAAATAACTTTTATAATATATATATTGTGAAGTTTTATTTTATAACTTGAAAAATTTCAGAAAATCGAAATGGATATGTTGAAAAAAAAACTATTTGATACTAATTTTCAAGTTAATACTAAAACAAGAACTAACGACATATACTATTTAGATTTTCTAAAACTTTTCTAACATTTTTAGTATGTACATAGTTGAATATTTACTAAGAACCTATTTTGAACTAGATGTTAAGTGGCGTTTGGGCCCTTTTTTAAAACGGAAAGACTTGATAGGTGGAATTCTAACCTATAAATTATAATCTAATGGGATACATTATATTTTTGACTTCAAAATTGGCTGAAGCGATTTGAAACTATGAAAATGAGTTTTGGGGCAAAATTATATTTTCTGCGTTTCATACAAAAATGCTCAAATAAACTAGGACGTTTAGTTTGTTCTTTTAACGCACCTTTTATGGGCACTCAATTTTCAATATGTTATTTTGTTATATAGTTTTTTATATTTTGTATCATCATAGATATCATCAATTTATTTACTAAGGATAAGAAAAGAACTCTACTGACTAGCAAATTAAACAACAACCTAGAATCTACTGACAAGCAAATCAGAAAAACGCCAAAGTATAAAGACTCTACTGAGAGCAAAAAATCTTGTCATTTTTGAAAAAATTTTACTCTACTTTTTAAAATCAAATCATACACACATATTTTTGTTTAATAATGAAAGTTCATCAAAATCTTTAGATATATTCGCGTAAATAGATCTTTTGCAATAACTATATTTTTTAATTAAATTATATATCTCTGTTTTTAGTTTATCAGATCTTTCCATTTTTTCAAGCCAACGCACGACTAGATTTTTGATACATTTAAGGAATTTTACAAATTACATACGTTTACAAATTATTTAGTAACTAGTCTATAATTATTATTATTTTAAAAATTTTATCTCTAAGAGTACATCAATTTTAGTATTGGGTTTAATTTAAATTCTAAGCAATCTGATTTATTGTGTATATTTTTAGTCATACGAAGAGAGGTGGAGACTTGGCATGGAAATAAAAATATTGGGAATATATATATATATATATATATATATATATATTAGGGCGGGTCGATTTAAAGGTCATTTAGGCACATATGATTTTCGTATACTAGATCAAATAAGATACTTTGCTGAAGAGACCATATCTCTAAAATGAATTCTGATGTCCTGTGCATTGACCCAAAATTAGGTTTAAATATTGAAAACCCGCTCAGGGGAGGTTCCAGGGGTTGTATCACGGACATGGGTGGATCGCTTTCCAAAGTTAGTGGGGTTCGGTCATACATTAGGACGCGATTGGGGCACTTTGAATGGGTCAAAATGGAATTTTTCAAATTTCAACCCTTATTTTTGGATCAATGCACGAGACATCAGAATTCATTTTAGAGGTATGGTTTTTCAGCAAAGTATCTTATTTTGATCACTAGAATCCGAAAATCATATGGGTGTCTAAGCGACTTTTTACCCATACAATCGGCTTTAATATATACGTGGTCTGTTCAAAAAAGTACCGGAATTACTAATAATAAAATTCGCGGGTCTGGAGTGTCTGATTGTCAAAATTTTTTTTTATTTTGTTGGTATACATGAATAAAGTATGATGAAATTTTCAGCTATATTCACTGTTACTTTGTCTGTGGTAGTCGCTAAGGTCGACGTGTTTTTCTGAGATCGGCGATTTTTACAATGAAGAATTGAAAAGTCAAAGAATTTGTATTAAATTTGCGTAAAAAATGAAATAAGTGTTGCAAAGTGCAAAAATTCACCAGATATGGCTCCGTGTGACTTTTTCCTATCCCAAAGTTGAAGGGACCCATGAAAGGACGGCGGTTTTCCTCGATTGAAGAAAATCGCTGAGAGTGCTCAAGGACATATCAAAAGTGAATATCAAGGGTGCTTCGAAAATTGGAAAAAACGCTGGCATAAGTGTATTAATCTGGGGGGGGCCCTCTTGACTTTGGGGACCACATTAATGTAGACGAATAAATAAATATTATATTTAATACGAATATTCCGGATACTTTTTGAACAGACCACGTATGTATATATTTTTTTGTTGGGACATTTTTCTACATTTTGTTAAACAATTTGAAAACTTCATTCCGCGCACTCTTTTTATTTAGCTTATCAAAAGTGCATAAAACTTAAATATAGATGTATAAAAATATAAATTTGACAAACTTTATATAAGTTTCTTTTTTCAGTATTTATCACACAGTGTGATGCACGCTTTAGTATAAAGCCGCACCCACACTTGCAATTTTGTATATAAGAGTCGTTTATGATTTTATAGGGAGGGTTTTAAAGCGTGTTTCACACTTTGAACTTTTCGAACAAAAAAAATTAATAAAATATTGTGAGATTACATTGACGAATTGGCTGGTAATATATATATATATATATATATATATATATATATATATATATATATATATATAGATATGTATGTATACTATATGTATTATCTCAAGAAATCTTATATTAAGTAAATCGGTCTTAAACGCCAAAATACTTTAAAAAAAATGTCAGTTCGACTGTAATGTATTGTAAGTCACAGAGTTAATTTTTCTGAAGATGGTGCTAACTTGAGTCTAGTCTCCACCCTACTATTTAATTATTACATTTTACACTAATTTAATTTCTAAATTGTTAGTAGGTATATATTATTAAATATAAATATTGACTTACGACTAAAATATTTATATCAATACTAACAATAAACTATTATCAATAACTGGAATATATTATGTATATTAAACTTACTAATAGATAGTTCTTACGATTTGTTAATTTTTAGTTTGAAGACATACAGGGGTTATGTATTTCTATTTACTATTTTGTATTATATATAAGGGTCTCTTCAATCCAGGTTTCGCCAAATCGGAAAAATTATTTAATAAGTAAAACGAAATATCCACTTTATATTCTTGTTGTTTATTTCTCCAAGACATATAACAATTTGTAAATTAACAAGATATCAACATACAAATTTTTTTTGTACATTTCTTAAACAAATTCAAAAACAAAATAGAATAAGTGCTCGACACAGTCACATTCTAAATCTGTTTGCTGATATATTGGTGGGAACATATCACTTAGATTTTATTTAATTATTCTCTACGATTTCGATAAAACTTTTTGTGTTTCTTCAAGAGAATTCATGGATGATAGAAAAGAAAAAAATATCAATTTTCATGAGTGACGGTTCTAAAAATATCTATGTTTATATAATATACTGCATTGTATGCAAATAAATTGCATACAGCTATTTGTTATTATTTGGAGTTCGTCCCTGGATTAAGGAGACCCTAAGAAAGAGCTAAGACAACTCACGAGTAAAATTAATGAGTCGTAATCAATACGTTTCTACTTTGTTGTTTCTAAATGTAATCTAAATTCTCATTATTTGTTACATGTATATCTATATGTGCCCTTTTGGGCATATCGAATTACAGGGATCTCGTTAGAATCCAAATTGGATTAGGATTTAATCACCTGATTTATGATATCTATGTAAATATATATATATATATATATATATATATATATATATATATATACATAGGTGTGTGTAAGGTGTGCATTTGTAACAAAAAATAATAAGTAAAACACAGAATATATAACAAATTTGATCTAACTATTTTAAAAAAATGGCTCAAGTTTTTAAATCTACTAAATTTAATTTAAAAAAAATCGTTTCAACTATTATTAAAACTGACATAGCAATAACAGAATTTTTACAAAATTGACATTTCTGGATGGAAATTTTCTCCTTAAAAAATTATAAAATTTAAATTTTATCTACTATTAGATTGTCTACTTCATTATAAAATCAGTTCCATTTTTTGACTACATTTATAGATAATAAAAAGCTTTCTAAGTAAATAAATATTAATAGTTTCTTAATAGTTAATACTAGTTACTACATAAATAAATAATAAAAGTTAAGGTTTCTACTTTTTTTTTTCAAATCACAGCTCGAAATTTGCTTAAACATTTTTTATAGATATGTTTTTTTAGAACACACGGTTAGATAAATAAGTAGCTCGTGCAAATAATAAATATTAAATATCTAAATTAAAAAAAAATAGATAATTTAGTTCGGATTACAGGCTTACTCTTTCGGGATTTTGTTGAAACTTTGTTGTTTGATAGAGTTGATAGTCAAACCGAACACCTTAAAATGTTATAGGCCTGTGAGAGGTGGTAGAGTTACAAAATTTCATTAAAGTTTGACATATCGAGTAACTGAACATTTAATTAACTGAGTAATCGAGTAGCAGATATAGATTTTAATCCTCTTAATTTACGTCAGCCCTTTCAAATGACTAACAAGGAGAACTTCAGGTTTACAAATATTTTTAACTCTTATCTATGAATCCGAGCGGTATTAATACCGGTATTTACCTTAAAATTGCCTGTATTTTTGGTATTTTTACACAAGTGCTTTTTGATACATATTACACTCAGGTTTAAATTTCTCGAATATATTTAAATTCCATAATTGCATACACAGCTATATCTTTAAGCGATTCTATGGGATGAACAAATGTCATAATATTATTTCAACTAGTCATTAAACTGGATATTTATTGCTTTCCAAAGGGCCTGATAGATAATGATGTTCATTTCATCTTATGTAAAAGTGTAACGGTTTTTAGTGTCATCTGCGCCAAAATATTACAGATTACCACTGCGTAATTTTTATTTTTTTGACTTTTTATTACAATTATTATTATTTTACTTAAAACGTATCGCAGTTTGAAAATAACATAGGACCATTATATTGTTTTAAATAAAAATACTCTACAATTATAGTATGTTATTATTTATCTTCATAAAGTATCGGATCATAAATTGTAGAAAAATTACTTTTTTAGAGTCTTCAAAATATTGGAAATTATGCTAATTTAACACATCGTATACAGACAATACAGTTTATTCTAATAATGTAATACGTTTTTTTATGAGTTTTTGGACTTTCTTACTCATACCTTTAATTTTGGTAAAAACTACTCAATATACTCAATAATGATGATGAGGTAATTAAATTGGATATAAATTTGTTAAATTACTGTTAAAAAAATAAACTTATTGTTTTCTTTTTTTAGTTGAATATAGTTGTAGTTAACTATATATATTTTTTATATTTGTACTAGTAACTTTCAATATTGTTTACACTTGTTTAAGATAATAAAAATACCGGTATTTTACCGGTATTCCGGTTTTAAAATGAAAAATTATCGAAATACCGATATTGAACATTTTTAACTCTATTGCATTCCCTAGTACGGAACATTCTAGTCTATATTTCAAAACTTTAATTAATTTTTATAATGAAACCACTACTCACAGGACTATAATATTTTAAGGTGTTCGGTTTGACTATGAACTCACAGAAAAGTGAACCTTTTAACGCTCTCCTTGTTAGAATCTACTGATTTGTGTAAAAAATAATACCATTATTATTATTATTAGCTACGTTTAATATCAATATTGTCTACGTTTGGAGTTTTTTGTTTAAAAAATAAATAAAAATAATGTGTACACGTATATACTACAAAATAATAAGGTCTACGACTAATTTTATTTTTGTACAAAAATATCAGTCTGTTAATTTTTACGATTCAGTTTAAAAATCTATTCTACAATTCTACATTTTCAAAAGAATTGAATAATAATAATAAAAAAAATTATTAATTTATATAAATAAATATTTAGAAGTGATTGTAGTGCTTGTGTGTGTTGCGTACAATAAATTCAGTTTCATCTATCCCTTTATCCCCTTACAAAGTGGGTAACCCGTGATAAAGGGCCAAATCCAACCCCTGAACCCCCAGCAATTCTGCTGGCGCATAGGCCAGAGTCAGGGTGCCGTTCTGGGCTCCCCCCCTGTGGTGCGGCGCCGCGACCGCACCGAGGCCCCCCAAGGCGGCGGCGGCCCTACTCTGGCCCAGAACCCCGCCGGGCTGGGCCAGCAAGGCGCCCCCGTTACGCTTATTAAGGGCGTGCACCTCGTACGGGAGATGCACCAGAGGCACCAGACTCGGGTACGGTGCGTATCTCTGGTTGGCGCCGATCGAAGGCGACTGTTGCAATAGGACGATTTGGGTCGGTTGTTGCTGTTGCTGGTGGTGGTGGTGGTTCAAATGGTGGTTCGTGTGATGGTTTAGTGGATGGTGGTGACCTAGATAGATGGTGACATAGGGGAGTAGATTGTTTGCTCTAACAATAAGGCCGATGAGGTAAACGGACAGAACAGGCAGTGGCGTGATTGATACTAGGGGATGAGTTCACTAGTCGATATAAAGTAAAGGGATGATTTTTTGTAAACTGGTAATTAATATTTGTTATTACTACTATCGTGGATGCAATTTCTATCAACTATCAAGTACACTTTTATGCTTAGAAATTTGGAAACATAGTGCAGTATTCAGCTTCTATTCAAAATGCCCCACATGCCGTAAAACATTCAATCTAAAATTTTTGAAGTAAACTTCTTTAGACACCTCACCTACAAATTCGTAAAAAGTGTATAATTTGAGAACAATTTGAGAACAAGGGGCACAACTAGTGTGAAATCATATTTCGGTAGATTACACCTTTAAAAATTTCAAATCGATATATCAAATAGTTTTTGAGTTACAGCCATTTAAAAAGTATACATATAGTATATAGTACAACGATCATTTTATCTTTAAACGCGTTTTTCTCGAAACAGCATTTTCTGAATTTGCTGCAGTGATTACTCAAAAACAAATGATCCGATCACTATTAAATTTTTTTACATGTTCTGTATATAGTTCTCCGTAAAATGAACTATCGATTTTTTGATCAGATCAAAAATCCAAATTTGGCAGGCGAAAAACGACCAAAATTTTGGGTAAAATTCGATTTCTTTTTAAAAAGCCGCCATTTTGTCAATTTTTGATTTATTTTTTTTATCGTAATTCATTTTACAGACAATATTATCTAGTTTAACGAGAATTATTTATTTTTTGATTTCATCCACGTAGAAGGCCGAAATCACTGCAGCAGTTAAAGGTCTTTTTTTTGTCGCGCCGTTGGAGGTCGACGATAACTTAAAAAATATTTAATCTTTTTCTTCAAAAATTATACTATGTATTCTTAAAGCATGTATAAATAAATTTATAAAATTTTGAAATGATTGATAAAGTAGTTTTTTTAATATAAATTCCCAAAAATCACTTTTTTTTAGGCGGTTACACTAGTTGTGCCCCTTAATTTTAGAAATCGCCAAAAGAGTATATTTTGTGGATAAAACACATAGTTAATTTCATTACTCGGATTCTTTTCAAAGAGACTCTTCAAACGATACCCAACATACCAAAAAACACAATATATATTTTTTTCAAGTAAAACTTCTCCAAGCTCGTTTACTATAAATTCATTAAAAGTGTGCATTGTTAATTTATATCGACTAGTGAATTGTAAATCGATGTTAAAGGCAAATTTGTTATAAAAAGATCATGCATTGTCTTACCGTATGCCCCTCGTGAACCAGGAGCTCCTCCGGCCGTCCTGGTTTTGGCCAAGTTGGCCGGCAACATCACCTCTTTAGGCTGGGCCTTCTTACACTCCACCTAAGAGAAATTAGACGATTTCAAATAGAGATTTTTCCATTTAAATGCTTGTTAGTTTATAGAATTAATTATTTAATCACCATTTTGTTGTTTATTTCGTGGAAATGTATCTCGCACACCTTGTCCACGACGTCCTCACTCTGGAATGTGACAAAACCGAACCCTGCGGAAAAATCCAAGATAATAATAATATCGATATTTATGAAATAGTATTTAATTAATTTTATATTAAATATAATGATAATTACCCCTGTGCCTGTTGGTCTGTTTGTCGAACATTAGCATCGCGTCTTCAATCTGAAATTGAGGAAAACATTATTAATGTTTATATTTATATTTTAAATATATATATATATATATATATATATATATATATATAATATTTTAGATTGTTCATATTTATATCTTTAATAAAATCTTTTTCGTCGTCGTTAGAAGACTAATGTCTCATCGATCATCGGCCCCGATTTATTTTAAGATAAGCCTCGTTAAGATGCCAAAACATTTTTAAATCTCTCCTCCTCCTTCATAACTCATTATAACACACTCATTAAGCTTTCATAATTTAGAAAATGAATATTTAGTATATTTAAAAAAAAATGAAGATGTGTAAGCAAAATGTGGCTACTGTAATTATATAGTATATTATTATATTAAATTGGTCTACTTTTTTTATTCTAAAGTTCAATTATAAACGCAGACGTTTCGGCTCCTAATTTAACTCATCACTAATCTTAAATTACATTCGCGCATGTTTCAAAACTCAAGTTTTGCCTTCTTCAATTGCTCTTTTTTGGTATTCCTGATGAAAATCCATCACGAATATTATTCGGAATCCCTCAGACATATATGTTTTCACTTTCGAAATCCTCGTTTTGTTCAAATTCGAGAAAACAACAACGAATTTACATATCTGCAGATCAGGAGATACAAATCCTACAAACATACATATATACATACATACATACATACATACGTATATATATGTGTATATTGTACAATGCTTTGTATGGGAAGAAAAAGCAATCTTATTGATGACAAAACTTTTATATGGAACAAGGATGTATATATCCATTACACACACACACACATATATATATATATATATATATATATATATATATAAATATAATGGAATGGATGTAGGAAGGCAATTACAGAAAAGCAAACTTTTTATTTTGGACAAACCGAACTTTCAGAAAAGTTAACATCATCAATTCGAGTATTCCCGAAGTGAACTTTATTGTTATAAATATATATATATATATATATATATATATATATATATAAATCTTGTTAGTATGAAATGGATTGCACGAGATGGAACTTATTTACAAAAAGCTATTTTCTGGATAACAAATAGTCTTGGTCAGTTATTGATGTCTCTTATTCGATTGTTAAAATCTAACTAGTGGAGTGTGTCTTTGCACTTCCTTAAATTTAAAGATTTTTTTTAAATATAATACAAGCATTGACTATACATTAAAATAATAAAAACCGTAATATTAGCAATGCAAATTGTATTAGTAATATAAATTATAAATACAAGACAGAGGAACCCTTGAATATCTGTGTTACGTATGTAATGTATATATCCAAGTGTGTGCATTATGAATATATTTAGATGTAATTTGTGAAGTTCGAAAGCCGCCGGTAACAAGATTTCGCTTATTACAACACACGTGTTAATTGCGTTTGTTTAATTAAGACGAAAATGTTCGTCTTATTATTATTATTATTCGACGAAACGATACGATACGGTGGAGCGATACGATGGCAGAGGTCGCTAATTCAATTAAACCGACTTAAAACTATAATAATTAACGAATATACCAAAGTAAATTTTGTAGAAGTTTATAAGAAATTTATTGAACTGCCAAACGTTTCATTATGTCATCATCAGTGGACTACTTATGGAAAATAGCGAGACAGAATAAGAATAGCTCAAAAATAAAGAATGCACCACTTAAAAGTAATTGCAATAAAAAAATGATATTAAAATGATTTTGAAAAGCCCCTTAGTCACATGATAAAAACGAAACTGAAGCTATGATTATAATTAACTTCCCGTAGGGCAAGTTATAGTAATCGCAAAAAAATCGAAAATGAAAATTTTTATATATCTTTACGTTTCAAAACCTTCTGAACATTTTGGCATACCTTAGAAAAAATGGATGTCTGTGTGTGTGTATAAGCGTGTGTGTTCGGATACCATTTTTTGTCGACGATTTCGGGAACACGGATGAAGCGATTTGAATAATTCAAAAAACATTCGATTCGTATTGATAAGGAGACGTGCTGATTAGTTTTTAGCGAAGGCAGATCTAGCCGTTTCAACGATATGGGGCAAAAAGTGCCAAAAACGGTAACTCAGTTTTTAAGAGAACGGAGCGTCCGATTTGAATAATTCAAAAAACATTTTACTTGTATTAACAAGGCAAAGAACTCAAATTTTTATGAAGGCAGGTCTAACGGTTTCGGAGATCTAGTAAAAAAGTAAAAAAAAAATGCCATTTGACGGTCAAAAATGATCATTAGACATATGCACATCATATTATCAGATATTTTATAGGGATTTTAACAATAAGTATAAATTTTGTTTACATTCCTATGGGTTCCGTACCAATATTTATCTATTGGACGGCGATGCGGCGCTTACGCGTTTCGATATTTCGTTATTATGCAGTTAAAGCTGTACGATTGCTTTAAAAAAAGTTCAGGATTTCGAAAATATTTCAAAATAAATGATTTAAGATAGAATGATTTAATATGGTTCGAAATTCTATTAAAAGTTTCAAATCATTGATCAACTTTTATTGATTATTATTGATTATTTTTAATTTGATAAGGCACGATGCCTTAATTGCCTTAAGACAGAATTCCACTTACAGCTAGTTTTTTATATGATCAGTGATCATAGTTAAATTTTGATTCTTATATTTGAAATCTAATTGTTGTATTAAATGCTGTCCTGTTTCACCCGCATACATTCCTGGCAGTCTTCAAAATTGTATTAATTTTGTATGCAATGTTAAATGTTTTGTCTATATACTTGTGGGTGATTTCAACCTATTGAACCTACTATAAATTAATTATATAAAAATAGTTGAAGTTTGGAATTATAGATCATGCTTTTATTAAGGACATACATACAAGGAAGTTGATGCAACTTAATGCTACTATTCATAATATTCCGATATATATTTGTTTCATGTATCAAATTCTTTTCCTGGTTTAGGAGAAAAAACAACCCTGCCACATGATTCTCGGACATCGGAGAGGCAACTTATCAATAATCCTTTGAACGCGTAATCGTAAAAACAAATATTTCCTTCGACTATTACATAACGCAAACAACACAAACAATACCGCCGACAAAAACCTGGAACCGGCCCGACGGGTTGTTTTTAGGACCAACTCTCTCTCTATCTCGCTCTCTAGAAACTTTCTATCCAAATAGAGAGAGAACGAGATAAAAGAAAAACACAGAGAGAGCGAGAGAGAGAGGAGGAACGATCTATAGTAGCTACTAACACTTTAATAATGTCATATATATGTATAGGGGTTGAACGTGAACAGGTATAAAAGTGAGCAAAGGGCTCGCATGCGGCGGAAAGAGATGGAGAGAGGGTAGCTTTTATTGATCCAGTAAGCGCTCACGGGGTTCTAGGCACACCGATATATACATACGAATAAATAAATGTATATATATACATATATATATATATATATATACATATATATATATATATATATATATATACATTCGTAGCGGGCTCAGCTGTCAGTTATCTCCGAAATCTAAACTGATTTTTAAGGTTCTTTACTTTTAAACGTTGAAAATAGAATCTTACGCTCGATTTTCGATATTATATTACAATAACTGAGTTACTCAGGGCGGGTGGCGACGATGACAATTTGCATATTGACCAACGACTGGGTTTCTTTATTTTCAGGTTATTTGTTTCGTTTCAATTGCGATTTTAAAGTATACCGAGTTGCTGTAAACATTTGTAGATTGATTAATTTGATTGAATACATCATTCATATTAAGCGAGTGGTTTTAAAGTTATGGCATATGTATAGTAATTATTAGACGTGCAACTTTGCTTCCGCCGTTTTTATAACGCAAGTTCTTTACAATAAGGGCGGAAGCAAAGTTGTGGACTTAACATTTTCAATTTTAAAGCGCAAACGTATTATATATGCATGAACTTCAAAACCGTTCGTTTAATATGAATTACGTATCCGACAAATTTATACAAAATCAAATGATTAACAATGTTGCCTAACATCATTAAGCCATGCAGCAACTCTGTATGCTTTAAAATCGCAATTTAAAGAATACAACTTTGCTGCCGCCTTCATTGTAAAGAACTCGCGTTGTAAAAACGGCGGAAGCAAAGTTGTATACTTAATAATTAATTTTAAAGCATTAATGGATTATTTTTGCCATATCTTTAAAACCATTCGCATATTATGAATGATGTATTCTCCGAATTGATACAAAATTAAATATTTGACAATGTTGTCTAACATCATTGTGCTCTAGAACAACTCAAAATCAGTTTTTTTGTTGATTTTGAAGAAACCTCTGTGTTTTCTGTACTCCGCAAAATGGTATTTTTAGTGTTAAAAAAATCTCATATATATTATTCATAGCTCGGGATGTCAATTTCAAAATTCGCGCGCGATGACATGTCGACATCTGCTCGGAAATGTTACACACGAGGGATATATCGAAATAACATACAGAACTATAAACATTGTTAAATATTATTATTTTTAGAAGGTATCGAATATTAATAAATTATGTTAATAGACAAGATGGTTTTATATTACTCAAAACTCTATTCAGCGTTTGAGGTATAATTCTGAAGGTCATTTCAAGGTCGAAAATTTTGAATACGCTTTTGAATAGCGCAAAGAAAATTTTTCGACTTTTTAGGAATTATTCTAATATATTGATAATGATTTAGTTGTTGATTTTTTTTTTGGTTTTAACTCACCGGTCCGAACTGTTCGAAATATGATTTGACGTCCTCTAATGTCGTGGGAGCGCTCAAACCGCCCACGAAAATCTTTTTTGTCCTCGTCACCATCTGAAAAACGGGGGAAAAATGATACTATTAATATAAAATACTATATATTATCAATAAAACATAGTTAGAAAAAAATAGAAAAAAAAATCATGCGAACTCATTTAGCTTTTTTGTTCTAACTATCGCTTACTCTCTTTCTTTATCTCTTTACCATTCTTTCTTACTCTCTCTACATGAAAAATATATTTTAAATTTTTTTATTCGATGTTGAAACATATTCTTGGAATGTTTATTTGCAGCTCAATAATTAACTATTTATTTTGTCCGTTTTGATACTGTGTTTGTGCCATCATTCAGCGTGTATAAAAAATTCTAAAAATAATTTTAACGTTTATAAAAATAAACTTTCTTGATTACCAATTAAATTCTCACACACCTAAGAGCAACCCATCGGTCTACCACTAATTCAATTATAGCGGACTGATTATAGGGAATGTCGGTGGAGATCGGGCGGTGGAGGACGGAATAAGTTGACATTTGGGAGCAACCGAGTGTAAAATTACATTTGGACGCCTCGTCTGATCCTACTCGATAAGTAGGAGTTGCTCCTACCAACTAATAATTGACTCACGCTCGATTCGGCATGATGTTTCGGCAATTGATAGTTTTGGCCCATTAATTGAGAATAATTAAGCTATCGAAGGGTTGCCAATTATAATCGATTATTTAAATTTACATCAAAAGCTTATTGACGGTTGCAAATTTTTATTACTAAACGGTTATGATATGCAAATTTGGCAAGTTTCTAAATGATTTGTTATTGTAAAATTCTTGATGAAAGGCTATTTGAATATCGAGGTCCACTATCTGACATTTTTATTTTTCAGCGTAACATAAACTGGGCCTAAATTCAATTGCTTACATATTTCCGAGAGGTTATCACCTAGATTTGTAAACTTTTTAATAATATTGCTTTTAATACAGGGTCCATCATGTAACGTTTTTTATACCATTTAACTATATAAACGAGAATAATATTCAGCTTCTATAGCACTTTCAAAAAAATTTGGCATATATTTTATCTATATTGTAAATTTATATATTTTCCTACAAGAGTTGTGCACTAACTTGCACACATATTCTTAAAATAAACAATTTTAAGTATTGCAAGTAAATTGAAATAACAATTTTAAATCATAATCTAGACAAAAAAAAGAAATCTATACTTTAAATTTCTAAAGTTTCAAATTTTCTTGGAGTTTTTCTTTTAAAATATTATTATTATTGCTTGGTAATAAAACTGTGTTTTTTTTTTTACTTTACGTATAATCATAACGGTTTGTAGTAAAATATAGTGTATTGTGCTTCATTACAAAAAAAAGCTTAAAATTATCTAAACTTGTTATTTGAAACTTTTAAGAACCGAAACCCAAAATCTCGAATATGAAGCTCGGAAAATAAAGGAAAACAGAGAAAGTTTTCTTCCAGGAGAACATAAGCCTATTAGTAGAACTTGCTCTTTGAAGTTCTTTAAATTAATTTCAATGAACAGGAAACTATAGTGGATTAGTTTATTAATATCAGCTTGCCGTATTATATATAAATTAAGAATAGAAGAAATCTTTTGTGTACTTTTGAATTACCGATTCAGTTTATTAAGTGGATTTGGTGAAAGATTTGAATATATTTTTAATGTACTGACTCAACATATTTATAGTTACAAAAATATAAGGCAATTTAAAATTACGTTCTATGATTTAATTTTTTGTATTAATTCTCAGTTTAATTTGTTGAGATTTTATTAATTAGGTAAAATGTTAAAAGTAGAAGATTTGCTGAATCTGTTTCATTAAGGTATTTATTCTCATGGCGATTTTGCAGTTTTTATTTATAAATATTATATATATATATATATATATGTAATATGTATGTATGTGTCTATTATATTCGTATATAATTGACTTGAACTTTGGCTGCCTATAATGGTGAAGACGTAATCGATATATCACTTTTGTGGAACCGAACATACACGATAGACGTGTTATTTTTATATATATATATATATATATATATATATATATATATATATACATCGGTCTGTGCCAAGCAGTACCTCCACTATCGTACTGCCATCTGTTAATAATTCAGTTCAAAAGTGTCAGAAATGATGCATCGATGTTGACATGATACCAATAGAGCATGGAGTTTCCTTCTTATTTTTTGCGTTGATTTTGAAAAATATAAAGTAGCTCTAGAGATTTTGTTATTAGGAAAAATAGTGAACTATTCAATTTTGTACAAATTTGTTGAATATTTCGGTTAAATCGGACAAGCCGGTCAGAAGTTACGAGAGATGCAATGAATTAATGCACGTACGATGGATTAAATAAAGAGTCGAAACTTTGTAATGTCGTGTGGGGTATCATTAGAAAGGTATCGTCGGACTGAATTCAAATATCGAATTGACGGACTTTAGAAAACAATAAGATTGCTGGTATAATTTTTTTAATTATCTTTAATACACGATGTAAGTTTGTTTTAAAATTTGTATAGTATTTTGTTTCCTCTTGAATTTGATTCTCTTGATTTACTACAAAGATAATGATGAGCTTATCCGAGAATAGGCTTAAAAATATCTGGTATATTTTATAATAGTAATCACAAATATTCAGTATTAAGATATAATATTTTCAGTCCAATTTTAAAAAAAAAACGGCATTGAACATTGTCCATGTGATATTTTCTCACAAATATATTAGCAATTCAATTTAGATTCTGATCATAAGGAACACTTTCAATTTGGTGAAAATTATTAAAAAAAAAGAGGAGGAAACGATCTATTTAAGAGTCTAAGTTACAATCTAGTACAAATATATTTGCAAGGGCGTTTAGAATGTGACTTTACACGAGCGCTTTTTCAATTTTGTATAAATTATTATAAGGTTCTCTAAATAACTTGTTTTTGAATAGTCTATAAAAAGTAAACTACAGATTTTTTTCTCAAATTTCAGCCTCGGCTGGCCATTGAAAAATAAGATTACGTTAGATGTCGGATCCATGTTTTTACATTTCATTTAAAAATATTAATTATTATTATTACTATTACTTACTTTTTATATTTATAATAACCAGGTCGTCGTCGTCTTGGACGAAAATTGGAAGACCCAAAAATTTAAACTTTGGTTTAAATTTTATTTTTATTTTTTAATTTTTTAAATTAAATTTTCTAATTAGTTTCTTTTGTTTATAAATATATTTTGTATAAATATAAATCTTTTTCGTTTGACGTGAAAGGACGAACACTACTACACAAAACACTACAGTTCAACTACTTTGTTTGTTGCTACTGCGAAAGGGAAACGAGAACGGGTTAGGTACAAGATCGCTCCACCGTAGAAAAATGTATATAGCAAAAACAGATGTTTGTGGCGTGTATTTAGGCTAATAGGGTATCACCGGGTAATTTAATACACGTTTCGGATTAAATTCCAACGACAAAACGTTTTTTATCGAAACGCGATCTCCTTTGCGGTATCGATTGGCTGGCGGAGAGAAGGGACGCTCGTTTTGCCGCCATTTCGAAAAACGTTGAAAATACACTTTTTTACACACAAAACTGGAAGTGGTACATGGCAACGTGCCTCAAAGAAAATTCTACAGCTCACTTATACACTTGATATAAATAATTTTAACTTTGCTGAAATTTTAGTAGAAATATGAGAATAGGTCCTTTAATTCTAATTGATCAAGTTTTGTTTATTCACTTTTTGTGTAAACATATATAAAAGACGTAGTCCGATATGTATGCTCTTATATTTTGTCTATAAAACAAGAATAATGAAAGTTACTGCATTTATAATAATATATTTGAAATCAATCAAATTTGCTTCATTGCACGATGCCATACACCACTGGTTTTATTTTCAGTGGTCAGCCGTTTGATTTTTTTTTCGTTATTAACCGGAAGGATTGTAGTTACAAATAAAAAAAAGAAATTTGAGATTTCAGTATTTATTTCTCATTTTCAAAAAAGAAGTAATTTGGCAGACCATGTATACGTGTATTTAATAGGGACTCTACTTTTGTATAAATTATAGTACAGTATTGACAAGCACAGCTAAAGTTAGAACAAAAAAGGACTCTACTGACACGCAAAACATAAAGTGTAAATCATGTGTAAATATTACTCTACTAACTAGAAGAATTAAAAATTGTAATGACTTGAAATACTAAAAGAAACTCTACTGACGAGTAAAATTCTAATAATATGGAATAGATAACATTCTAATGACGTGAAATAGAATAACGGATTCTACTGACGAGCAAAATAGAATATTTTCAATAGCTGACATTTCGAGTAACTGAGATTTTTTATCAATTATCACATTATATTAAAAATTACTAAAATGGATATTACAAAATTTAGGTTTGTTAGGAGGGTAAAAATTTAAGGTTGCGTGCATAGGCTTAAGTCAAATAATTATAATTTATCGTGTAAATAATCACTAAAATTTAAAAATTTAGTATAATATATATCTTGTTCTCCTCAAATTTGATCAGCATTTGTTCCAATTTTATCGACATTAATTCCACTTGTTTATATATAAAATTATTTAATAAAAAGTAGTATTTGGTAGTATGGGGTCAAACAACTTTTTTTTGAGAATGCTATAAATAAAAAAGTGCTGAATAGTTTCTCAAATTTCTTTTTTTATTTGACAATATAATCCTTTTGGTAAATAATGAATGTAGTTGTCGGATCCTCAATTGGCACATTAGATTGTTTGTATCCAATTTCAAACACTAAAATATTTGCCCTTAATCTTATGTAATTGAGTAATATTTGAGATTCAAAATCTGTATAAACATTTTTTATCCGACACTTTAAAACGACCGTGGAACGATCTTGTACATTCTGATTACAAATAGTATATAATATTTCATAAAATTATTCATAAAAATAAACTAATTTATTGATATTATTTTATCACAAAACTTCCTAAGAAATCCTAAGTTAGGTTATTATTATGATAGTTAACGGTACACTTTTTATCTAGGTA